GAAAGTAACCGAGAACAAAGATGTGTGCACCCCCACCCAAGCAGAAGAAGACAAAACAGCTGTTAGAAAAAGAGGGACGATACAAAATTAAAAAAAAAAGGTAAAAAAATAAAATTAATTAAAAGGAAAGGAAAAGGAAAATGAAGTGCAAAAGAAGAAGAAGGGTGTGGAAGCATCAATTCTATGTGTTCGGTATGCTGAGTGCGTGGCACATGCTGAGCCACCTTCATACAAGACAAGGGACGCAGCCAAACTCACAAGGACTAACACGTTAATACATTATCATTTTCATTTCATTTTCCTTTTTATTTCGTGCAATCACTTTGAGATACGTTTTTATCATTTATTTTTTCTTGTGATTTCTTTTTCCGTGGGCATAAAAAATAATAAAATATAGACTCCGAGAGAGGATCGACAGATCGATTGCTCTCGTGTTATGCATAATTTTTATTTTAAAACTCGAATTATCTCAAACTAAGTGTGCCTAGCCAGTGTCTCGAGAGGACCACCGAGAGGATCCAATTTGCCAAGCGTTTCTTATTTAGATTCATCCTGGCGATGTAAAAATAGGAATATTCGCTGTTCGATTATTGATGCACGGAGGAATTCAATTTTTAGGAGTAACAATAGAAAAAATGGTCCTTGAATTTATGTATAATATGCTTGCGACGTGGTCAAACGTGCAATGTCGTCCCTAAACTTTCAATTTATTCAATGTAATCCTTATGTATACGAAAGTACTTAAAAATAGGGACCACGTTGAATAAATTGAAAGTTTAGGAACGATATTGCACATTAGGTCAAAATTTGGGGATCGGATTGAATGAATTAAAAATTCAGTGATAATATCGCACATTAAACTAAAATTCACGGACCATCCGTGTCTTCTTTCTTTTTTTGGAACGAGCTCGCTGATAAATAAGAAAAAGAAGGAAGAAATTCCGCACCCACGTTTCCCGTTGTGGCCCAAAGGGAGCCATAAAGCGTGATGGCCCCCACGAATACGTTCGTTTCGCGAGGGGGGGATCGCGACCGCGAGATGAAACCCCCGGCGGACGCGTGGCGGCTCCAGGGGCCTTCACGGGGCGGGGGGGCCCACGGTAGAGAGATCCCCGAACGTCGTATCGGATTCAAAGACTCCCCCCCCGCCCCCCCCCCCGTTCTGGAACAAAATCATCTCCTTCCCTCCCTCTCTCTCTCTCTCTCTCTCTCTCTCTCTCTCTCCTTCGGACAAACGAAGAGAAGGAGGAAAGGAGAGGGCGGAAGGTCTGGTCTCGTCGGGCCCCCCGGTGGGCCCCCCCGCCCCCGCCCACGCCCCACAGTGACGCGGCTCGACCGCCACGTGTCGGCAGCCCGCGGCGATAAGGATGCGACACGCTTCCACCGGATACGACAAGAGCCAAAGCAGCAGCACACCCCCCCACTCCCCCCCCCCCCCCCCAAACCGGGCCCCACCACCCCGAGACAACGACGGGCGGTCGAACAAAAGAAGAGGAGAAATCCGAAAGAGACGGGGCAAAATATTCTTTAAATAAATAAATGAATTTATATATATTTAATTATTTATGTATAAAGGGCACGGGGAAAATGGAAATTGGAAAAGGCGACGGGCCGTCACGCGCCGCCCCCGCCGCGCTACCGGACAAAACGTGTTGCCTCCCCTCCCCTCCCTCGCGAGCTTTCTCGTGATTCGGGGATGCAGCGAGGGGTAGATTGGGGAATCCGCCCCGGGGGGGTTTGAGCCAATAGGGACGGGCTTCAGGGACAATAAGGATTTCGGTTTTTTTTCCCCGCCCTTTGTTCTTCCGATTTTTCTCTTGTGCTTTTTAATTTTTCTCGACAATTTGTATTATCAATTTAGATGATGAACAGAAATTGAGAGTTTGTACAGAGCCCGAGTTTAGTTTCGAAAGTTATCGAATCGAGGAAAGACGAATAAGGTAAAAAGTAACCCAATCAACATCTTCAATTGGGCAATTTTGTAAGAGAATCTTTTTTTTTTTTTATAGAAGTGAAAGGAACGCTCCAATGTGTTCACAAGCGGTAAATAATAGCACCAATTAATCGAACACGTTTAAATATTAGAAAAAATGTTGCATGATACGGTCGGCTAACTAAAATAGTTGAATTTAAATGAATTTGCAATTCACGTAACCGTTCTCCTCTCGAGAATTAGCCGCCAACAGAAATTTCGTTTCCGATATTTGTTGATATGGTTAAATCAATGAATCGAACTCTACCAAGCACTTACAAACTTACAATTGTGCTAGGAATATTATCATGTAATCAAATAACATAATTAGACATTCTTCGATTTACTTTATTTCTTTCATATCCCGAGTGATCAAAACTTTGAAGATTTTTCTTATTGAATATACTTAATCATATCCTAAATGGGAACTCGATAGCAAAACGTTTAATCCAATGGCGTTTGTTCGGCTATAATCGACTGGAGGGACTCCATCACGACAATCTCCATTGATTTTTAGCGACACGTTCTCCAAGGAGCGAGAGTTAATCACAGATTTTAGAAAAAAAAGTGTTAAAAAGGAAAAACGGGAAGAAGAAAAAACAAACCTCGAAATTGACGTTAGAGCTGCGATGTGTTGACATGAAATGGTCCAAATAATAAATGCTCTTTCGCTATTATTCTTTCATGAAATAGTGCAAGCGACCAATCTTAGTCGATCGTCGGCTGAATTATTTTTATTTTCTGTCAATGATATAAAAAAGCATATTTTATCTTTTTTTTAGAAGGCTCATGTGTGATGAAAGCTTATTGACTAAGGCTCCGTTCGTTCGGCGGAAAATATTTTACTTTTGAAAAATATTTTCTCGGAAGTCATTTTCCTGAAAAATATTTTCCCGGAAGTCATTTTCCTGGAACACAATTTTCTGGTGTTCGGCTAAAATCGAAAAAGTTTCGGAAAATATTTTTCGGTGTTCGGCGACCGCCGATCCGGCGGCGGCGATCGAACCGGCGGCGATCGCGGCGGCGGCGGGCGGCGACGGGCGGCGATCGGCGGGACCGACGCCCGACGGCCGACGGCGGCCGACGATCGACAGTGACCGGCTACCGACGGCCGGCGGCGGCCGACGACAGACGACGACCGACGATCGGTGGCGGCGATTGGCGACTACGATCGGCGGCCGTCGATCAGCGGCAGCGACCACGCGGCCAGCGGCGGCGACCGGCGGCGGTGACCGGCGATCAGCTTCCTCTCCCACGGAAAACATTTTCCCTCCCATGGGCAATTTTGCCTTCGCTTTGGGGGACAATGATTTCCTCTTTGAACAAGAGGAACAAGAGGAAATCATTTTCCCCCAAAGCGAAGGCAAAATTGCCCACGGGAGGAAAAATATTTTCCGTGGGAAGTTATTTTCCGCCCCCCGAACACTAGAAAATCCAGAAAATATTTTCCTAGAAAATATTTTTCGCCAAACGAATGGAGCCTAAAGTAAAAATCCCAGTCCGCAAGCATATTGCATCCAAATCCATCCAACAAAATAGTACAAAATTGCCCACGACGTCCAAAATTAGAAGATATGGGCTCTTATAATACTCATTTCCTTTTCGGTATATCAATAATGAGAAAAAAAATTACGGTATATATATATGACGTGTCATTGGTTAAATTTATCAAATTCTGTAATTTTTGCAAAACATTTAAGACTTATTAGATTATGAAAGTTAGACATAAGTAAATTGATCATCAAAGCAAGTTTGGATACTATGGCCTATTATGTGTTGCTTACCATGTCCTATAGTTGACATCATAACAAAATTTATATTCGCAAACCTTTTTGCGACTGGACCGATTGCATGACTAAACTTATTTTTCTCAAATAGAAATAACTATAGCATTGAATATCTTTCGAGATATGATATTCACGGCATGTACAAATCAATTTAGAGAAATCTATTATTCCATACGTAACGCGTCGCCTGGAATATATAACAAGGAGAAATTTCGAGATTGTAGAGAAATCGAGAGAGAAGTTCTCGATTCACAGTCTGATTAGGGCGATTTATACGCGTTTAAATTTTTTATTATTCATAGCTTTCGTGGCTCTGCACACCGAAAATATTTCCACATTTGGTGTAAAACCTTGAAGTTAGGTCATGAAATTTTTAAGAGAAAAATAAATCGCCTCCCCAAGGGCGTTCAAAATTCCAGGAATTGATATAACGAAAAATCTAAAATAAGTATATCTGTGAAAAATTTACCAAAAACTAATTTAAATTGGTACATTTACGATAATTTCACTCTTCATTAATTTTTCGTTAAATTGGATATCACAAATCGGTATATTTGTGACAAACAAAGGATCAAATATTATACTGATATACCCGTCGTCATCCAACTCAATAATTTGACGGAAAAAATTTAACGAAAAGTAATGAAGGATAAATTCGTTACGTTTGAAATTTATTTATTACGTATTTGTCAATTTAGGGTTTTTCGCGATATTAATTTAACTTTCAAAAGGGGAAAGAGTAGAAATAGGGAAAAGTTGAGGGAGTTAACATAGAGCTACATTTTGGGGGGGGGTGGGACCCACTTGCACAGTATAATTCGGCCGCCCCAGTTTGTCGTCTCTCTCGTCTCCGTTCACCGCTCGCTCCGCTCCGTCGTCTCTCTGCGTCTCTCTCTCTCTCTCTCTCTCTCTCTCGTCTCTCTCTGTTGCCTGTACTTGAAGCTCTAGTCTCTCTCTCCATCTCTCTCTCTCTCTCTCTCTCTCTCTCAGACACACACACACACATACGTATCCGAGTAGGATCTTCGATCTCACTCATATTTTGCGTCTGAGCCATCCCTGTTCTCTTGTTACATCAGGAGGAAGAACTGTCCCTTCCTTCCCCCCCTGTTCGCCCCCCGCCGACCCCCTCTCTCTCCCCTTCCTTCGACGAGGAATCTCCGGCGCGAATTCATCGCCCACGCCCCGCGGCGCAGCGAGCCGCCGCCCCCCCACCCGCGCGGGCACACGGAGTAGGGCGAGAGACCGGAGGGAGAACAGGCCCGGCTCCTTCGTTTGCTCTCCGAAAACTCTCGGGGGCCGTTATTATGATTCTCAGAGAGGCTGTCTCGACGGAGGTCGCGTTTCGGGTCTAGGCTGCTTCTTCTTCTTCTTCTTCTTCGGCTTCTTCGGCTTCTGGGTTTCGGATCTCTCGCTGTCTCATGGCCGGCAGCGACGAAGTCAACGCCAATGAATCTAAGGTGCTCCCTCGAATCCCTCTGCGATTCTTCGGTTTCTCGGTGCTCTCTTTTCTTGAACAGCCCCAGCTGTGGTTGGGCGCTCGGGGGTGTTTGGGATGATAATTGGAGCTGGTTTGGCGATCTGGTTTGTGGGGTTTTTTTCCTCGAAGCTTCGCTTTTTGGGTGGTTTCGCCTGAATTGGGCTTGAGCTCGTTCGTTTCGAAAGGTGATGCCTGAGGTGATTTTGCTTGATTCGTGCAAAAAGGCCGTGACTTTTTTTTTTTCCTCGCTGCGAGTTTTTAAAAATTATGGGCGATTGTGGCTGCCTGTGCTTTTCAATCGCAGTTCTGATATACGATCTGTTTGATGGCGTGTCTCTGCTTCTGGGGCTTTCTTCCCTTTTTCATCTTAGATTTCTTTTTGTTTTAAGTTGAGTGGTTGAACTTTGAGTGTAAATTTAAAGCAATGGCGAGAAGTTCTGGCTCTTACCTTTCCTGTTTCCTTTTCCCAGTAAGTTTCCAACTTCCCTGTCAATGTTGATCTTTTCATTTTGCTGTGTGCATTTCTTGGTTTCTTGCTACCGGATGCTCAAGATCAATCTGTCGTCGAATTCATGTTGCAATTGGTAACACTCCAAGCACTAATTGCGTTTTTCATTCTCTTGCAGAGAGTTGTTCCCTTAAACACATGGGTCCTCATCTCTAACTTCAAGCTAGCATACAATCTCCTCCGCCGGCCCGATGGGACCTTCAATAGGGACTTGGCTGAGTTCCTTGACCGGAAAGTTCCCGCCAACACCGTCCCGGTCGACGGAGTCTTGTCGTTCGATCACGTCCATCGTGCCACCGGCCTTCTGAACCGGGTGTACTTACCGGCGCCTGATGATGTCTCTCAATGGGGATTTGAAGAGCTCGAGAAGCCTCTGAGCACCACCGAGGATGTCCCTGTCATTTTATTCTTCCACGGCGGGAGCTTCAGCCACTCCTCTGCCAACAGTGCGATTTATGACACCTTCTGCCGCCGCCTCGTCGGCCTTTGCAAGGGGGCAGTCGTGTCGGTGAATTACCGCCGCTCGCCCGAACACAGATACCCCTGTGCCTACGATGATGGTTGGGCAGCCCTGAAGTGGGTGAAGTCGAGACCGTGGCTAATGAGTGGGAAAGACTCTAAAGTCCATGTGTATTTAGCTGGCGATAGCTCGGGCGGTAACATTGCTCACCACGTGGCAGTCAGGGCTGCCGAGGCCGAGGTGGAAGTACTAGGTAACATCCTTCTTCATCCTTTGTTTGGCGGGCAAGAAAGAACCGAATCCGAGAAGAAATTAGATGGGAAGTACTTTGTGAAACTTGAGGACCGCGACTGGTACTGGCGGGCTTATCTTCCCGAAGGGGAAGACCGAGACCACCCTGCCTGCAATCCCTTCGGACCCCGCGGCAGAAGCCTTGAGGGGCTTAAGTTTCCGAAGAGCCTCGTTGTCGTGGCGGGTCTGGATCTTCTCCAGGACTGGCAAATAGCTTATGTAGAAGGGTTAAAAAGGAACGGTCAAGATGTGAAGTTGCTATATCTGAAGCAGGCCACCATCGGCTTTTACTTCCTCCCGAACAACGAGCATTTCTACTGCCTCATGGAGGAGATCAAGAACTTTGTCAAGTCTGACTGTTAAATATAAGACCCACTTAACCTTACTTACTGGCAGAAGCAGTCCATACATAACACAAGCTTGACTGTTTTCGGGTTTTGTATTCGGTTTTCCATCTATTGCTGGGGTGGTTGTGTAGTATTTTCTTCGGTTTGCTGTTCTAGCATTTATGGTGGTAGGATGAGAGTTCTATCGATCAGCCGGGTCTCTGGAGATGGCGGCCTTCATCGTGGCGGATCGGACTCTGCTATACAATATGGACGGATCGTCTTATATCTAATATAACCTCTTACCGTGTTCAGCGTCCAGCTGGGGATTAATGGGGTGGCAGGACTCGTGGCATCGACGCGCGGTGGTCGATGGATCTGGTCTTAGCAGGTGATCATTCTTAGGAAGCACTAATTTCTGAACTTTGATTATGCAATCATGGTACGGAATATGTATGTGATACTTGTGGCGTAGAGCAATACAAGAAAAAGGCTTTTGCCTGTATATTTTCCTTCTGGGATGGACTTGTTCTTTCTCCTTCTGTTCTGATGGCGAAATTACTAGTTGGTAGGCAGTATTCATGTGCACGCTCTATCGTTAGAACCTGGTCAAATGCGCTCTTGTTGTTTGGTCAGAGGAGGAAGATCTTTCTCCTCGCATTGTCAAAGGAAAAAACAAATCTTGATTGGTTGGATTAATCAATTCTTCAATAATGTCCAAGAACGAAATCGCTGCAGAAACATAACATTAGTCAACCAAGAGAAGCTTTAATGCATGTAGTGCAGGACTTTGAAATTCTGCAAAGGCACAAGATTCTCATCTTGATCTTCCACTTAAGTTCATTTGAATCCCACTAGGAATTTATATGTCCAATTTATTTGGCATCCTGAAAAGCCCACCCCCCCAACCAAATCCTCAAGACAAGCATACAGTACACAAGTACTCGTGATTCAGAACACAGAGATTGATGTACAAAACATCGGGAACTCTTCTTGGATGCTCGAACTCGATTACATCCCATTCGCTTAAGCAGACGTTTGCAATTTTACCGCGTCGTTTGACAAACTAACGTTGTTTTGCTCAGTGATCCGATTCCAATGGGCAAAGCATGTGGCGTGGCGGACCATCCCAGAAAATGTCCCCAAAGCCAAACCCCAACCCCATCCAACATGATTTTCCCAGGAAAATGAGAGCCGAGAGAAAGAGAGAGAGAGATAAAGAGAAAGAGAAAATCATTGGGGGAGCGGTCAAAATCATGGGCTCTCGCCATCTTTCCACATCGGTTTGATTAATTCTTGGCAGCTTGCGATTGCCCCCCATTCTTAAGATGACGGGGGCGCGTTTGGAGGCTTTGGGGGGAAAACAGCTAGAAATTGTGTTGAATTTGTCTTTGTTTGGTGGAGGGGAAACCCATCCATCGATGGTTGGGATTTCTTGGATCTATTGTGAAGGTGGGATTGCTTTTTTTATAAGAGGGATTAAATTTAATGGGTGCACTAAGTGGTAGGAACAGCTAAGCAGGACAAGGACATGGAACCTTGTCTCAATTTGACTTTCTAGGCCCCATCTTTACATTTCTTTTGTTTCTTTGCTTAGAATATGTTCCTTTGGGTTTGCTCCCTGCCACTCCTAGTAATTATTTTATTACCACTAGGGGCTTTGAATCGATTCAAAATTTTAATAATAATTTCCCTAACCTTTCTTGTTCAGATTATCTTGGTGTCCTCTAATTGCCAATGCCTAGTTGTCAAACTGTCCCCTACACATGGTAGTGTGAATGCAATTCTTTATTAGGACAAGATGGAGGTCACTGTTTTGACAAGTGGGTTTTGTTTAATATGGTCATTAGGGGTCATTAGGGATGAAGACGCCATCTGATTTGTTCCATACGAACGAAACATCGTCCGGGCTCATCGCAGAGTCGCTCACAGTGCCCAAAAGATATGGTGGAATATGTTATTCGTTCCTCTCGAAGAAAGTCGCGGTGTTCTTTTCATACGAAATCTATGTATTTTAATAGGGTGAGTTTAGGTATAATCAATCTCTCGAGTGATCACTGTTTTGAGAATGTGTGGCGGTCGGTCATTCTAATGCTTTGAACGGCATTATGTTGCAGTCACGTATCTTGTGTTCAAATCTGGATCTTCATCATCCACTTTTGGTTGTTTAAAAAAAAAAAAATCATCCACATTTGGTACGAGTCATTTTGCATTTTGTTAGAATCAACCCTGAAATTATGTCAACAAGAATGATGGGTGGTGCACGTAATGTTTGCAATACTGATGACAAGAACAAATTATGAAATTGTTTTCTATTCTCATTAATGGGGATTGCAAATTTATTCTCACACCCTTTGTGAAAACTATTTATTCATTTATTCATGCCATGATTTTTTAATAATTTTGCGAGAATAACCCGAACCAGTTAAGTTCCTACATTTGACCTGTGCATGTAGCACCGACTAAGAGCAATTCGAACGCAGTTAATGGGATTCGAATGCGTGACCTCCGACTATCGAACTGGACATCTCTCGACATCCCAACATATTGCATAAACTAGGGATTTGTTTTTTTCGTTATATCCTCACGATATTTATTCTCGATCTTTTTAGTATAAGCTGACTTTTTCTACCTGTCAATTAGTTCCGATTTGTTGTTTTTAACAATGAAATTTCATGTGCTAAACATTTAAAATTATGTTCGATTAATTTGACAACCTCGATCTTGAGGCTTTTAAAGTAATTTTATATTAATGATGGTTCTCTCTCTCTCTCTCTCTCTCTCTCTCTCTCTCTCTCTCTCTCTCTCTCACCTTATACACATATATGCGTGCCATTTGTGCTAAAATATACAATAGACATTAGTTTGTCTTCATTTTCGGGCCAAAAAAACAAACAGAAAATGAGTTTGTGTTTGATCTTGAGAAAATAACACAAATGACCCCTAAATTTGGCCTCTAAACTTTGGTCCAATATGTAACGTGATCCTTGAACTTTTAATTTGTTCAATGTGGTCCCTGAATTTGGCACAATGTACAATATCGTCCATGAACTTTTAATTAGTTCGATATGATCCCTGAACTATTGATAAATGTTCTATTTAGTCCTTGACTTATGTGAAAATGAAGAAAATTGAGGGACTACATTAAATGTTTATCAATAGTTCTGGGACATATTGAATAAATTAAATGTCCCCAGAAAACATTGCATATTGGGCCAAAGTTCAAGGACAATATTGCAGAAATTAAAAGTCTAAGGACAATATTGCACATTAAACTAAAATTCAAGGACTATTTGTGTTATTATCCCCTATGATCTTCTATTAAAAGGTGGCGTGGTTCCAATCTTAATTTGACACAGCCCAACATTGCTTCCTTGTGTACAAGGATGGCCCGCTTTGTTACGGAGAGAGCTCTATTCTATAGTCTTAAACAAATATCTAACTTTGATGTAACTAATTTTGTAAAATACCTTTTGTAAACATATATGTGATGTTACCTTTTCCAAAGCAGAATCGCGAGGCAGATTTTCTATGTATCAAACGGTTTGCATCTACCTAACTTTTGACTCGCGTTCTGTTCGGTCTTTAAAAAGTTAGTACGGTATTTGACGGGCTTGGACCGGAGTTTATCTACCTAAAGCGGATTTTCTCATCATTTATTTTGTTTAGACAGAAATAGATCAAAGAATCGAAATAGTTACTCAGACCTTAATAATGCAAGCTTCGTGGAGAAATTTTACGAGGCGTGAACATGGTAACGATGCAGGATTGGTAAAAGATTAAACATGACATGACCGAGTACAAGAACATACCATGAACCAAAAGAGGAAGTAAAAACCTTAGAAATTAATGCGATTAATGTTGTACACACGAAGATTACAGCATTCAACGTTGTACTAACCATATGCGATTTGCTGACACGAAATTGCCGGCCCATTGCTAGCCCACTGCACGCACGCGCGAGCGCGAGTGCAACACCAACCGCTGCGACGTTGACCGAACGAGGGGGCAGTGGAGTGGACACACGATAAGCACGCGGAAGGAAATCCGACTCGCAAGATTTTGGGAGCACGAATCCTGGAAAAAGAGCTCGGGCATTATCCATTCAGCAAGAAGGCAGAGAAGAAGACAAGCCCGTGAATCAGGTCAGTGGTTCGTTATGGATACTTGGTTACGCTGATGAATCTCCCTTACTTTCAGTTCTAGTTTTATCTTTGTCGGATAGGAGTCGGGGGCTCATGCAATATATGTCTGGTTTCTATTGATCTTGTGACGGGTGCGATGTGGTGTTGAACTTGAGACGCATTTGACTGTCATCGTGGGCACGTAGTTCGATGGAATTTGAGGGGCCTTTTCAAGCATTCTTCGGGACAACTGCGTGGAATTTGTTGCACAGGGCGCAAGCTCATCATGGTTCTTAATTGGTCGATATTCTTATGCTTGAGTTCTTGATTTTGGTCACTTAGCATAGCGGGGGAAAACAAGATTAGCTCGCGGATTACAGATGCTGTTGAGTTTAGCTGCATGTCATAAAAAAGTTCGTAACATACGGGTCAAATCGTCTTCTTGGGTGGTAACGTGACTGTCGTTTAATTGTTTGACTTTAGTTGGTTAGTTGGCAATCTAACGGCGCGAATGATAACTATTCTGTTTCTGTCCAGAACTAATTTTCTGTTCTCCGAAACAGGTCTGGAACAGAAATCCGTTTGGTAACGCAATTCCATTTTTCTATTTCTAGAATAACTTTTTGTTTCAGAAATGATTCTAGATCGAAAATCAGAAAAAAAAAAAGAGTAGATTTTCTGTTTCTGAACAAGAAATGAAAACCATTTCTAAAAGAACTTGTTTTCTCTCTTCAAAACACATCTCTTCATAAATTTGTCCCCGATTTGACCTGGTCAAACCGATTCGAACCGGTTCAGTCCGGTTTATTCCTGGCGGGAAAATAAAAAAAATTCTAAAAAAAATCAGAAAAAATAAAAAATTCAAATTTTTTTTAGAAAATCCGGAAAATTTATAAAAATCTCAAAAAAAATTTCAGAAAATCCATAAAAATTGAAATTTCCATAAAAATTCGTAAAAATGTCCAGAAAATTTTAAAAAAGTCAGATTTCAGGAAAATAGGAAATTTGGTGAACTTTTTCAAAAAAAAAATCAAAAAGTCAAAAATTTCAAAACTTCACAGAATGGCTTAAAATATCTGTGGCCACCCACTTTGAGTGAAATTTTAAATTTTTGAAGTGCCCAGAAAAAAAATCAAAAAGTAAAAAATTTCAAAACTTCAAAGAATGGCTTAGAATACCTGTGGCACCCACTTTGAGTGAAATTTAAAATTTTCAAAGTAACCAGAAAAAAAATCAAAAAATAAAAAATTTCAAAACTTCACAGAATGGCTTAGAATACCTGTGGTCACCCACTTTGAGTGAAATTTAAATTTTTTGAGGTGACCAAAAAAAAAATCAAAAAATAAAAAAATAAAAAATTTCAAAACTTCACAGAATGGCTTAGAATACTTGTGGCCACCCACTTTGAGTGAAATTTAAATTTTTTCAGGTGCCCAAAAAAATAAAAAAATAAAAAAATTCAAAACTTCACAAAATGGATTAGAATATCTGTGGCCACCCACTTTGAGTGAAATTTACATTTTTTGAGTTGCCCAAAAAAATCAAAAATTTCAAAACTTCACAGAATGGCTTAGAATATCCGTGGCCACCCACTTTGAGTGAAATTTAAATTTTTTGAGATGCCCAAAAGAATAAAAAAATAAAAAATTTCAAAACTTCACAAAATGGATTAGAATATCTGTGGCCACCCACTTTGAGTGAAATTTAAATTTTTTGAGTTGCCCAAAAAAATCAAAAGTTTCAAAACTTCATAGAATGGCTTAGAATACTTGTGGCCACCCACTTTGAGTGAAATTTAAATTTTTGAGATGCCCAAAAAAATAAAAAAATAAAAAATTTCAAAACTTCACAAAATGGATTAGAATATCTGTGGCCACCCACTTTGAGTGAAATTTAAATTTTTTGAGTTGCCCAAAAAAATCAAAAAATCAAAAATTTCAAAACTTCATAGAACGGCTTAGAATATCTGTAGCCATCCACTGTGCCCAAAAATTTAAATTTTTGGGCACCATTCCGTGAAGTTTTGAAATTTTTTATTTTTTGATTTTTTTGGACACCTCAAAAAAAATGAAATTTCAGTCAAAGTGGGTGACCACAGGTATTCTAAGTCATTCTGTGAAGTTTTGAAATTTTTTATTTTTTGATTTTTTGATGTTTTAAAAAAAAATTAAAAAAATTTCCCATTTTCTCGAAATCTGACTATTTTTTATTTTCTGGAAATTTTTATGAATTTTTCTGGAAATTTTCAATTTTTATGGATTTTCTGAATTTTTTTTGAGTTTTTTAGGAATTTTCCGGATTTTCTAATTTTTTATTCCATTTCTAAAAAAATGGATTTCTGTTCCGGGAAATAGAAATTTGTGTTGTTATCAAACGGGTTTCTGTTTCAGGAAATAGAAATTTTATGCTGTTATCAAACGTGTTTCTGTTTTAGAAATAGAAATTTTTGGTCGTTATCAAACGAGTTTTTTTTCTCAGAAACTCATCCTGAAAATAGATATAGAATTTCAGGAATTCTTTCTGGAACAGAATAGTTGTCATTCGCGCCCTAAGTGTTTATGCTTTGTGAAAGCGGAGTCATACGTTTTCCCCCATCTTTTGTGTACTCTCTACTAGTTTTTAAAAAGAAAAGAACTGGTTTAGCAGGATTGGTGGCAGGATTACAGTTTACTGGGACGTGGATCAAGAAAGATGTCGCTGTTCATTCTATCGCCACGAGCGGTTTAAGTACAGCAATGCATTTTGCTGCCGGTTGGCAATGTATGCAATGAGCAGACTAGAGATTGAACCTGAGTCGTGTGAGGAAGAGGAGAGCTTGCATGAGGTTGGTAACAGCCAAGGACCAAATGAGTTGCCGATATGTTTGGATCATGAGATAGCGCATTTGACAAATCTGAAGTCGAGGCCCCACGAACATTTGATCCGAGATTTCCATGGGAGGCGGGCTCTGCCTGTGTCCCCTGTTAAGATGCTGGCAGGTCGAGAGTCTAATTATTCAGGAAGGGGGAGGTTCTCTTCTGCTGATTGCTGTCACATGCTGAGCAGATACGTGCCTGTTAGTGGTCCTGTGCCCGTGGATCAGATGACTAGTCCGGCTTATGTTTCGCAGTTTTCAGCCGATGGTTCTCTATTTGTTGCTGGCTTTCAGGTACACGTTACTGGAATGTGAATAGGTTTCACGGATATTGTATTGTACTAGAGTGTTCATGCTTCAATATTTTACCACTTTCTGTGGTCACAGAAACTGAGCCTAAGAGACGTCTCATATGTCAGTTTTTTTTGGTATATCCTCTGATCTAAAGCTGTATGGTGTAAGATGTATCGATGTAGTAAATGTGATTTCTAACTCTACTTTTCCAAGTACTTCTGCAGGGTAGCCACATTAGGATTTATAATGTTGATAAAGGATGGAAATTTCAGAAGAACATTCTTGCCAAGAGTTTACGGTGGACAATCACTGATACATCTCTTTCTCCTGACCAGCGTTACCTTGTGAGTTCATGTAGCTCCTGCAAGGAACTAAATGTTTATCTCCTGAAGTTTTTGTACTTTCAAGTCATAGAACATCTCGGCGTACTCAGTCTCAAGAAACTAGGTATGACATATTGACGTTGCTAGCATCTGTTGCTCACTTTACATGCAGCATGCATGATAAGTTTTGTTATGCCAAAATATCATACTCGTATGTAGTAAAATTTGATAGACACACACATATAGTAAATGTTTTTTTCCCCTGAAAAGTGTTATGCTCGTTACTCATAATACAATTTGACTTTTGGGGTATTAAGGCCGTCTCTGGCCCCTGGTGTCGGTGAGTCAGAAACTATTCGAGATGACACTTCTTTTATGATTTACAATGTATCAGAAATAATCTGAATATCAATTCAGGTTCTTAGAGTTACTAATGAGGTTATGAATGCTGAAAAACCAACATACTCTTCTGTATGTGAGAGATATTTCAAGTCCTGCTTCTGGACTGTGCATTTCTCTTTTATGTGGATACAATTGTCTTTAGCTTTAATTTATCGTCAGGCATTCTTATAGGAATGTACATCTAAAGCTACAGTTTCATCTCATGCTCAGCCTTTTGCTTTCCATCGTTCAGGAAATTGCTAGTGCTATTCAGATAGTTTTTTCATGTAATTGGCCGTTGGCTCTTGATAAGGTCTAGAATTGTCAGCTAGGAGCTAGGATAATTATACATACCAGAAGTTATTTCATAGTAATGCAAGGCCTCTTTCACTTGATTGATGAGTAGCAGATTCTCAAAGTCAAGTTGCTCATTTGTGATACCGTATTAGATTGGACTTCTGTTTTTACTGTGAATGTGGCTTCTATGATGTTAGAGTATTTTTGACGTCAATAGGGGAGATGAGAAAAAGATTAGATGCTTACAAGGGGAATGGAATTCAGTGTTTGCTGTACATAAGGATTTCTACAGTGGTCCCATGCCAGGAAGAATTTCTATGAGCATCAAGAGAGTTGATTTCGCTGGATTAATTCAAGCATTTAGTTATGGCTTTCTATGTTATTACTCACATTTTTTAGCATTGTCTTTCTGCGGTTTGAAGCTTTCTTGTTTCTTAATTTACCAATTCTACCATCAGTTGAACATAGATGTATTATATCTCTTGAATAACACTTGCTTGCTTACTTAGCAAAAAAAAGATATATCATATTTCTCTCTAACTTGCAGGTGTATGCCAGTATGTCACCCATAGTCCATATTGTTGTTGTCAGATCGGCTGCTATGGATTCTCTTGCAAAAGTAACGGTATAAAGAATACTAACTTCAGAAATTTTTTTTATTTTGTAGGAGCAATATGTCAACTTTGACACATTGGCCTACCATGACAATTTTCTGATCATTCTTAAGCATATATGTTCATATTGCTTATATTCACGTGCAATCTTACAAGGATGGTTTGCTCTCACTAAAATCCAACATGGTTGAGTTGGGTTTCTCCTCTTGGTAGTCAAAACAGCGCCCTAAAATTCTGGATAACTGAAATAGCCTGAAGCAAGAATTTTGGTTCTCTTTATCCAGTAACTTTCTCAGCTCAACTTTTGTTGGATGTTCAGCATGTTTTGACTCGGGAGTTTAAAAGCCCTCAGAACTCAATCCAAGCAACATTGCAGGGTCTCTGTGCCTCCCCCTTGTGGATGCACAGTATTTAATTTTGCGTAGTTCTCGATTAGTTCCCATCTAGAGTTTCTGCCTGAGAAAATATGACCAGATTCATGATGTCTCAATCATCTTTTGGCTGCATCAGGTGGTTGTTCCTAAGTCAGCCGGTTGGGGTAACCAAGAGGTTTGTGAGTGTATTTGAGGGTCTCCGGTGAATAGATCCAAGTACCCCTGCTCTTAGCATTTGAATTTTTTCCTGGAACCTGACTCCACCAGGCTTTGGTTGGCTTGAAATATCGGAAATTCTTGTACTTCTGTAATTTCTTCTTTGTATGCTGTAAAATGGGTCTGCTGTGCTTGTCAAAGCTCGTGCCTGAAAAACAGTTCCTATTCCTCCCATTCAATCATCAAGCTATCAGTAATAAGATTTTCAAACTTCTCACCTGATTTTTATTTCGTTCCTGCAGCAATTTTCTAACAAAACATCTTCCAGTAAATTTGGCAGAGGAAACTATACCATTACTACCTTTAGTTACTCGTGGAACCTGTGTCCTTTGCACACTTTTTGAAGCATTTAAAACGAAAAATTTATCAGCTATATGATCATATCTGCATCATTTTGATAGTTTTTCCCATTTTCTTCACTGGCCAATTGTCTGTCTTCACTAAGCTGGACAAGAACTACTTAATGTACTATTATGAGCTACTACAATTTTGGTAATAGATGGCATGAGCATGCTTTTTGTGCATATGAAAGTCTTGACATTGAGATTTTTGAATCTTATGTTGATGTCGGTTAATGCATTCCTATGGAGTTCTGATTTTTCTGACTATCCTTACAATTATGGATCAAAACTCTTGAAAGAAACATTCAAGAAAAAATAGACAAAATTATGCAAGAGGTTCCTTCTATCTAGTCCAACATTGACGAAATAAACAATTGCCTCAAGATTTTCATTTTAAGCAAAATGCTGGATCAATAGGCTTCCTGGCTCAGAGAAATTGTGCACATGTTTTTTAGGAATTCGCCATCTTGGCTCCATGTTGATTTTCTTTCAGAATATGTTTGCTTGGCATTCTTGAGTGGAGGTTATATGACTTCATTCCTGTTCTAATATCTTCAGGACATCCATGAGGGTTTGGATTTTTCTGCTGATAGTGGACCATATTCTTTTGGAATCTTCTCTGTTAAATTTTCTACCGATGGACGAGAACTTGTTGCTGGAAGCAGTGATGATTCAATATATGTCTATGATCTTGTGGCAAATAAGCTTTCCCTCAGAATTCCAGCACATGAGGTAAAACTTTGGTAGTTTTTGTGCTTTTTTGGATTTGTTTCTCATATGCTTCTTGCTAACTACTCGGAACTTTAAAGATTGGTGCTCAGCGTTCCAGCAGAGTAGCTTTTATTCTTTTGCAAATGTAGTTCTAATTAATTTTGGCTTTGAATGGATCTCTATCTGCCAGAGTAAATTCTTTCTTTTGGAGATATAATAGCCCTTAACAGTAATTGGTGATTTCCTGAACAATATGCCATGGTTTGGGACTCTCGGTAACCGTCCTTGAATTATGATTCCAAACCTCTCTTGGCAGTTGATATGGCAGATCTCTTCATGCAAAAGTCGATACATATCTTTGGAAGTATAACAACCATTAAAAGTAATTGATTAATGTCCCTGCAATATGCGGTGATTTAAATTCTTGCCAATTGGCTTTGCGATTCTGAACCCTCCCTGGGCAGCTGATATGTCGAGTTCTTGATCTCAGAAAAGATGAACATATGGGCCAAGAATTTTTTTCCCACTTCATTTTAGAGTTAGTCTTGTACAACTGGTTTTATTGAAAATTACCACCTGACAATGTTTGTTGGCCGCTACCATTAAATTAGGTTTCAACTTTCCCTGTGGCTCTCTCCTTTCCTTTTTCCTTTATCTTGGAAACCCCAGAAGTCTATTATTGATTCAAGGCGTCAGTCTTCGAGTGTAGTGGTTTTGCACGTTGCAAGCATCTGGTATTGGTGAAAATGAGTGAATTGCGAGAAAGGATTTGTTATCTAGATTACTCATCTTGATTTTCCACCCATGCTCCTGCGAGTTCATTATGCGAAAATTGGAGATTCTACATTCTTTTCTCAGGTTGTCTGACAGAATGATTTTTCAAATGAAAAGGCTGCTTGATGAAATTTGCGGGTTTTGTTCTTCTTTCCCTTTCCTCTTATTGTTGCGAGAAGAAAAGTTGAGATGAGCGAACTCTTGATGTTGAAACAGTTATATAGTGGTCAAGGTGGATTTAAATTGTCGTCATCTCTCTTGTATTTATCCTTTTAAGGTTGGAAAAGGAATGAGGGCCTTCTCTGTCAGAATTTTTGCTCCTTTTGCATCTTTAGCTGAGGATGTGTATGCACATCAACATGCAAGTGCCATAGTTTTAAGATTATAAGGGATAAAAAATTGCTTGTGCACTTTGTATTGTGGATTTAGTGTGCATTGAGTGCCTAATTTACACGCAGTTAATATGTTTTCTTCGCCAATCTATGCACATAGTTACCTTCAGAAAACCTTATACTCTGTAGTATCTCATAAGTTCAAATGAGATGAGTGCATTTTGATTAGCACCTATCTATTTGCAGAGTCGGTGAGTCTTTACCTTCAGGTCCCTTCCTCTGGTTGCACCTAATCATTATTTTATGCAAGTATTTTCGCCTACTTCATGCATCTATTCTCATCTCCATTGCTGAATGAGAACAGTTCTACTTTATCAAATTCTGCTGGAAAAACAGAACTCAACAAGTTTTTAGAACCTGATTTCGTCTTCTAAATTGCAGTCTGATGTGAACACAGTTTGCTTTGCCGATGGAAGTGGTCATATGATTTATTCTGGGAGTGATGATACATACTGCAAGGTACTTAAGCTCAGTATCCCTAGTGCTCTTTTGATTACTTTTTTTTTTTTTTGTAAAGATTTTGTTTTTTTAAACTTTTGTAAAGTATACGGACATGATGCACGTTCAACACATTGTAATATGGGTGATAGTCCAGTCGTTACAGAAGCAATTTCCGTCACTTCTCTGAATTGTGTTTCATAGACACTTCCCTTGTAATTGGTGTTTGCATCCACTTTCTTAACCGATTTTGCACCCAATGCAAAAAAATGTGGTCATGTACAATTGATATCATTCATAAGGCAGTGGTGGAAAAGGCTTGTTCATCTTTATTGTTTGTATCATCCCATTTTCGATATTCTTATGGTCTTGTAAATAACCGAGCACATTGTGCAAATTTATGAACACTTGCATAGCGAGAACTTGCAACTGCAAACTGTATTATCATAAGTATCACAACTACCTAACTGTGAAAAAAATAAAAGCGGGCTCACCCTGTCAACTGGACATTGTGTAGGATGCATGTCCAGTCTTCAGAGCTTTGACAAGCCAAGATTCCCTTTATTTCTGATTGATGTTACAACTAGGTAAGTCTTTGCATTTTTTACTATTGATGGACTGGTGAGAAACGATGAAACATGTGATTATGGTACTGTTCACTCACTTCTTACAATTTGATGTTGGCCTATTCTATCTCCGTTCTCAATGATGAAATTCGTCAGTCAAACGATTAAGTAGCATTCATTTGGCAATTAGATAAAGAGACCATAAAAAATACTTAGCCCAATAGATTTTCAATATCACATTTCTTTTTCTGTTGATTTTGATCGTGGCTATTATCGGATTCTCCTGACATGCGGTTCAATTGAATTGTGGTTTGAAGCTCTGGTAGTAGTAATTAATCATAATCATCATCTTAATACTGTGTTTTCCACTCTCAGAAGGTATTTTCTTTTCTTCAGTGCAACATGACTCAGTCTAATTTTGTCTAAAATTACAACCATCTGTCCCCGTCACTAGATGATGTATTCTAGGCCTAGATTTTTTAGCATTTTCGAATGGAAGTAAGTGGAAGCCATTGTTTAGTTATAAGAGCTGTTTCGCTTTTTTTTACCTTCCCAAGCTGCTCCTTCAAACGATATATTGATACAGCTATGGTGTTGTCTCATCTGCGAAAGTATCTGCCCAGGAAAACCTTGATATGCTGCTAATTCATCCTTCGGGAAATGCCTGTGAGCACGGCACAATAGTCTTAACTCGCTATTATGTTGCTACCCTATTTGTCATAATTCAATGTTAATGAAATAGAGGAATTGGGATTTATGAGTTCGGAGGAGAACTGAAGCAAGCTGGAACCTGTCGAGAAATGACATGACTATTTTTGTAGGTGTGGGATAGACGTTGCCTGAGTGCCAGAAATAAACCTGCAGGAGTTCTAATGGGACACCTTGAAGGCATTACGTTCATTGACAGCCGTGGTGATGGTCGTTATTTCATATCAAATGGCAAAGATCAGACGATCAAACTTTGGGATATCGGGAAAATGGGCTCTGATATCACTTGGTTAGTGTGCTCAAGTTCCACATGCTTCCGAGAATTTGGTTTCAACATCAGTTTACCTAAGCAACAATGCCTGCTTTCAGTTTTTTTTTATTAAGGGTTTATGTTAACGGGTGCCTCTAGTGCCCTAGAGGCACTGGTTAAGCATACCTAATGAGGAAAGGTTCCACTTCCACGACATTGATTACATCTGATCCTCAGAAAAATCAGTACCTTGAAAATCAAGAGATTACCTTATTTGCGTACTTTAAAAATCGAATCTGAGTGAACAATTTATGTTGATGCGAATTGTTGCAATGCAATAGATGAGCGTGAAAATGATGAGCAGATGGGAAGCATTAGAACTTAAGAAGTTGGAGACGCATATTGATGTATGATGTACAGATAAAATGACCGCATGAGTTCTTTGTTGACTCTTTTGCATCAATCCTCTTTCATTTGGCTTGCTCACATCTCTTTGCTGCCGGAGATGGCGGAAGAGAGCGCGAGTTTTAACGCTTTTACTCTGGTTGATTTGGTGCAGCCGTCCAGGTTTTAGAAATCATGAATGGGACTACAGATGGATGGACTACCCACTCCAGAATAGGCATTTGAAACACCCATTTGATCGGTCAGTGGCAACATATAGAGGCCATTCGGTGTTGCTCACTCTTATTCGGTGCTACTTCTCCCCAGCACATAGGTAAGACTGGAAACAAACATTAATTGAAAATTTTAAGTAAGTGGTAATGTTTGATCGGGTGAGTCTTTTAGCTGCCTGCTCGACAGAGTGAGAAACAAATTAAATCTGTACACGAGTATGTAGCGGCCAAGTTTGATCCACGCCAAGCTCCTAATGAGCTCGAATGCTGATTTAGTTTCCAGTCGACGTGGGCGAGTCCTTTTACTAAAGACTGACCAGTTAATTCCATGAATTGATTGTGTGCAGCACCGGTCAAAAGTATATCTACACTGGATCCCATGATTCTCACGTTTATATCTACGATGTGGTGCGTAATTCTTTTCGCACCATGTCGTTCTGCTGCAGAATCATGTTAGTTGTCGTCCTGTTTGGACATCAACATGGAGATGCCAAATATAGGATGGCTTGGAATCTAAATCCTATTGACCTATGCCGGTCGCTCGAAATTATGCCGGAAAAACTTTTTATGCTCTTACGCACAACAAGAGCGGGTACTTTCTCTTCCTTGTTGGCTAGTCAGAAAGAGCGGAAAATTCTCCGACTGAGTATATGCGCTGCTCCTTCAACGTTCAGCATGAGGATCAAGAGATCCAGTGAGATACATTCTCAGCATAATCGAATCGTTATGTAGCATCCCTTGTCAAATGCATTCAAGACGCATATCCGTATATTTGCATACATGTTCTGTCCCCGGCATAGGTATCAACTAGGGAAGGATTTTTCGGGTTTTTTTCATTGAATTTGCTTTGAATAGGTGACCGGAGCTCGAGTTGCAGCCCTCGAGCACCATCGATCGACGGTCCGAGACTGCAGTTGGCACCCGGACTACCCGACGATTGTGAGCTCTTCTTGGGATGGGGATATCGTGAAATGGGAATTCCCCGCGAACGGAGAAATTGAGATCCCGGTGACGAAGAAGAGGATCCGGAGGTGGCATTTCTATTGAAAGGCCGCCCGCGGCTTTTCACTCGACGACGATTAGCCGGGTAAATGAATCCTTCGTATGGTCCCAATAATTTCCTTCTCATGTACAGATAAAGGTGTATCATTCAAGCTACAGACCCCATGACCATATGTGATTCATGAATTTCGCTGTACATAATCGACCTCTCGAGTATAATTGTGATCCATCGTTGCTTGTTACAAGCTTCCATTCCGTCAGTGTCTACTTGGGTGTACAAAAATCCGTCTTGAAAGCGTAATTTCCCAACAAAAAAAATATAAAAAAAAATGGCGTGGCGAAATTGCAATCCGGGCGACCAGGCCGCTCCGACCGGACATTAGCCAAAGTTCGTAATGAATAACCATCCTCATCTGCCTAAGTTTCCGCTTCGCCTCCGATACGCTGTCGATTTTCGACTGGATTTCCGCTCTTGCCAGTCGAGACCAAAGTATGTATTCGCAAGTCCTAAAATGAACGCCTCCTCATCCCGGCCGGATTAGAATGAACACGGATAGAGATGCGTCTTGCTACCTTTGAAGATCTCGAGCAAGTGGTTAATTAGAGAGCATTCGGTTCGATCCGGTTCGGTTCTATCTTAGGGGAACCCAATGACAGCGATGGACTTTTCTCATGTGCAGGCCCACGTAGATTCAAACCGTGAAGTAAGAGCTTTATAAGGTTTTATTTTTAGCTCCCCTTCCAAAATTATATAAATTAAAAACCAAATTTTGGATTAGTTGTAAAATGCCTTCACGCTCTCCCCTAAGCCAGATTTCCTCTTCTCTTTAAGAGGGAGGGGAAATTAAAAAACGAAGGGTAAATTGGTAAATGCACGTGTTTCCGGGAAATTGCTAATGTGGCTTTGTCCCAAGTGACAGGGAATTTCTTTGCAATCGAAAGTAAAAGACCATATGGATATATGTTCACATCAAAAATTGACCTGCCCTTTTGTCCTCTGTCCACAATGCCTCGCCCTCCAACAAATTTTTATCTTTTATTTTTTTATTTGATTTTTGGGTCGCCGAGAGTTAAAACTAAGTAAATAAAATACTAGCGTTCAGGGTTCGCGCTATATGCATTTGCGATCGCGAATGTGTTATGCATATAGAAAGGAAAGTCTGTTTTTTTTGGGAGGAGAAATTGGGCGAATTATGTAATTAAGCTGATCTAGTGCCTGTTGGGTATTTATTAAACATGTGAAATTTCGGTTACTTTGCGAAGAGAGAGTAATTGATAGTTTTGTTTTTCATACATCTCAACGCAGAGGTAATAATGGACATGAAAAAAAAAGGGAGAAAAACACATGTTTTGGTTTAAATATATCGATAGGTTTTTAGTTTTAAAAAAACCACTTCTTCATTAACTAGGAGTTTGTTTTTTTCTCATTTTTGAGCCCTCGTCGATTATTTTTTCGGGAATATTATTCGATCAATCCTAAACTTACTGTACCGATACCAATTCGATCCAAAACTTTTCAATTTTTTCAATTTAGTCCTAAATTTTTGTACGAAATTCTAAGGTAATCCTTCCGACCATCGCCGTCTGATTGGACAATCTTCCCTTTTCTTCCGGACCATATTGATTACCATATAGCAAAGTATGAAGTTGCTTCCGACCCAAAAAACAAGAAAAAAGAAAAAAGGTATGAAGTTGTCAATTGTCGCTTAACCTTATTCAACCCCCCCTCCTCTCAAGGGCACCATCGCTTTCGAGCTCCAACTCCAATAAAGTGCCAAGTCGGTCGTTAATTAAATTAAGTAGGTGATGATCTTTTCGAGCGCTTGGCACTGAACCAATGCCTTTGCTTGCATGAGTTAAAAGCCAATCGAAGGTGGGACCGATCTGGCCATAATTGACCCGCTTGTCTTATTGGCACGACGACCATCCATCACCTGTGGGAGTGCCGTAGATAGTAATAATAATGCATTCGTGCCTCTATTACGAATGATTGAATAGGGTTTCGAAGAGGTGTCGATTTGCCAGCCTACTACTACTGTAAAGAGTAAGTGTCTCCTGTATCTTTGAAAAGTTATTCATATGCCTTTTACCTTTCTTGTGCTAAAACATTATGGATTCTGAGTACCCACTTAATATTCCGTTCTATATTTGAATTTCGTTTTGCCCAAAAAAGAACCAAAACTAAATTGCCTGTCTGAATCACCTCTACTTTTGAATTTTTTGAATTTCATTAAATTCGAAACGCCGGAAAATCGGTAAAATCGTATAGAAATTTCTCATCAAATTCCGTGTTATTTATTGTTTGAAGGAGCGCGAAACTAGATCGATAAATCACTCGACCATCTCGTCCCTCTTCAAGGGCAAAAGGGTCGTGAGCTTTTGCCGATTGCAAAAAGGAAATCTTACTTCCCATCTCCTCCATTAGATTGATTGCCCAAAGAGAACAAATTTACCATCTGAAAAATCCCAAAAAACACTTGCTTTGCAATCGAAAAATTAGAAAATTCCAACACCCCTCCCCCCAATAAGTATTTTGTGGAGAACTAAAGGATAACCATAATTCCAGAGCAAAGCTAAAAAAAAAAAATTAATTAATTAATCATAGAAACATATATTCATATTACTAGCAAGTAATTAACAAGCAGCATAATAATGTTAACCCCTCAAAACATCTATAATTATTTTATTCTCTATTTACCCAAACACCTATCACTGAAAAATTAATAAATTGAATCAAAAACCATCCCCCCACCAATTTAATTAGAATTTCCCCCAAATCTTAAATCCTATATGTATCTTTTCTTCCAACTTTGCCCTCCTTCCAAAAGACAAAAAAAAAAAGACCAAAAAAAAGAAAAAAAACCGAAGAAGCTTACCCGGGGATTCCCCATTTTACCCTCGCCACTCGGCGCACTGCGATGTAGGCCTCGTCTTCTGCTTCCCGGCCTTCAAGGGGCAAGGCGCCTGTACGGGCGGCACCATGCAGTTGTACTGCAGGCACAACGACGAGCTCAGCGGGATGTCGGCCGCCGGGTTGATCTCGATCCCCGTCAGGAAGTTGTGCTGGAGGTACAGCGTCTGGATGTTGGCGGCCAGCAGCCGGTCCACGAACGAGCCGGGCACCTGCCCCGTGAACCGGTTGTTGTTCAGGTACAGGTTCTGCACCGTCGAGAACATCGGGGATATCTGGCCCGACAGCCGGTTGTAGCTGAGATCCACGGTCGGGATCGCCACCTGGCCCGCCGGCTCGACCTCCCCTTCGAACCCGTTGCGCTGCAGCTGGAGGTTCGTGATCGGGAACGCGAACAGCCGGCCCGGGATCGGGCCCGAGAACCGGTTCATGCTGAGGTCGAGGTAGTTGAGCCGGTCCATCCGGCTCAGGACCCCGTCGACCGGCCCGCCCAGCAGGTTCCAGGATAGGGAGAGGTACTGCAGCGAGGCCGGGAGGGCGAGCGGCCCGAGCGAGCCGGAGAGGTCGTTGTGCTTGAGGTCGAGCCGGGTCAGCGACTCGGAGACGAACGGGGGGACCGAGCCGGACAGCCTGTTGTGGCAGAGCATGAGGTTGGAGAGCTCCGGCAGCGTCCCGAGGGGGCGGGGGACGGGCCCGGTGAGCTGGTTGTAGCTGAGGTCGAGCGTCCGGAGGCTCCGGAGCAGGCCGAGATTCGCCGGAATCTCGCCGGTGAGGAAGTTCCGGCTGACGGCGAGGAACCGGAGGCTCTTGAGCTGGTACAGAGTCTGCGGCAGGGACCCGAAAACCCTGCCCGGGACGACGGTGAGCTCGGCGAGGGAGGAGAGCCGGCCGATGGCCGGGTCGATGCGGCCGGTCAGGCCCGGGGAGCCGGCCCTGGGGTCCCCGAGGTTGAGGGCGATCACCCGGTCGGCGTCGCAGAGGACGCCGGCGAAGTTGCATGGGTCGGCGGTGAAGTCCCAGGAGCCGAAGAAGCTGGACCCGGGGATGTCGTCGAGCGACTTCCGGATGGACTGGAGGGCCAAGAAGTCGTTGGGATCAAGAATCGCGACAACGCCGAGGCGGTCGCTCCTCATCAAGCACATTGCACACATCATCACCCACGACAGCACGCTCCGAAAGCGAGACCGCACCGCGACCCTCGGCTTCGCCATGGCGGAGGCACGAAGCGACAAGTCTGGGGGCTGCTCGTCCGGGCGGGTCTGGCCCTCTGGGGACTGGCTTTATAGGGGAGGAGAAGGAGAAGGAGAAGGAGAAGGCACGAGTGCTTTTCCGTGAGTCGGCGGGTGCTCCTCGAGCGGTTCAGGGCGTGAGAGCTATAATGGAGGCAACTGGCTATCGACAAGATTTTTATACACGCGCAGAGAGAGGTGGCTTGAAAGAGAAGGAAGAGAGGCACCCCAAGGTTGACGATCTCGTGCTTGGTGATGGTGACGGTGATGGCGACGGTGATGATGATGGATCTTCTCTTCTTTCTTCCTTTCTCTCGAGGGGGCGGTACTTGCGTTGGCTTCTTGGAGAAGACGAAGAGGAGGGAAATCGCTACCGCACTACGCTACTACCTGGACTGGTCTGGTCTGGTCTTGGTCTCCCCTGGTCCGTAGGCTGCACCGCAAGGTTTTGCATTTTCCTTTCTTTTCTTTTTTCTTTTTTAACTCGTTAAAAATAGTTGTTTTACTTCTCTTACCGGTGGGGTGTTACTTGCTGGGGTTTTCTTTATTGGGAATGGAGTTCGGGGGACCAAACGGCTGTCCGAGCCTACGTGGGGGAGAGCCCCGTACGCGAGGCTCGGGCGGGTGACAGGTTGGCACGGGTGGGGGGCTAGGCTCGGGAGCTGGGATCACGTGATCGGTCTCGTGTTTGGTCCCCGGCGGAGGAGAAGGAAGGAAGGAGAGGGCGGAGGCAGGTAGTGAAGTGAAGGGGGGAGGGGGGGAACTGATATTTGGGCGGGGGGGTTTAGGGTGCGGCCAGGGCCCACGGGGAAAGCGTGAGCTCGGGGGCCTGCTGCGGCGACACGTCGTCGGTCAACGGTTGACTTGGTGGAGGCCAGCTGTTCGTTCACCCGCATCATGCTCGTCATCGAATGCCTGTCCGTCCTGTCTCTGGACGCTCACACTCTTCTTGCGAGTGCTCTTTTTGATTGCCTTTTGTTTTTTGTCGAGCTCTTTTTGTTTGCCTTCACTTGTCGTTTTTTCATGGCAATTCGTGGGTTTTTTCCTCTCTTTTTTTTTAAAACTTTTTTTGGTGGAATTGCCAATTTTGCGTGGAAAAATTAATGACCTTTCGAGGGATTCGATGTTTGGAGTCCGCTTAAACGGGTCTTATCTTTAGGTTTGTGCACTTTATCAGATTCGATTAAAATGAACAATCCAATTTAGAAATAGAACATCCGTAACAAATTGATTTCTCAATAATTGAACTGATAGTCTGTAATTGAGCAAAACCGATAGTCGGAAATGAATGTCGTCTTGCTAACTCGAGCAATCAGTTAATTTCACCAAAAAAAGAAAAAGCTTTTTTTTACATTAATAAGATGGCTAGTACTCTTTTCGTCGATAATACTAATGAACTACTTTTATATATTGTTGGGAGAACTTTTTATGAAGAGACCTACTTTAAAATTTGGGCATGACTTTGCAAAAAAATTGAAAATTTGAAGATAAGCACACCATTATACTTAAATAATCTAAATACTCGGATAAATTCAATCGTTTTTTTCCCTCGTACCTTACTCGATTGAAGAAATTAATGAGGTATTTTGGATGCTCCGTACTTTTCTTATTTCGGACGAAACTTCCTCCTCACGTATAGCACCAAAAATGGCTCCAAGTCAATTTTAATGTCCTTATATCCATTTATTTATAGACTTTATTGTTAAAATAACTTTTGGGTATTGTCCGTAATTTCCGAATTCCAAAAATTTCCCTATGTTCGAGACTTAGGTCATGGGTATTTTCGACATCGAATAAATTCTCCAATCCACATTTTTACTCTCTCGAGAAAAATTAATTGTCCGTAAGCTAATCTTAGTTTGGCCATAAGCGGAAAAAGACACAGCTTCGACGCAAGACAGAAAAGGGAGAAATGCCATATTAATGACGGTCAAACCTAATATTCCTTGTCGCAATCTATTCAGTACGTGAAAACAAACACTATAGTTTGACCTTAAAAAAAACATTAAATAATATGAATTAATTCACGCAATACCATGCAGAATCTGTTAAACCAAAGCTATCTAACAATGTCTAACATAGTAACAAGACAATTTGTAAACATTCTCAAGTCAAAAAGGTCGATGACCAAACTCACGAACTTCTCAATCAGCAATTAATAATTGAGATTAAGTTAATCAACTATTAAGATCTTGGAACATTTGAAAGCGACGCTCGCACGAAAAAACTAACGCATGCGGATAATTCTGTTTTTTACCTGCCTCTTTTTTCTAAAATAAAAATCTGGACTTTCTATTAATTTTTTTACAAATCCAGAAAATGACAACTTCATGCTCGAAATTTCATGAAGAGGATACGTGGGTTAATGCTATTTAAATAGATACGACACAAAGAATGTCAATCGAGATTACATATTTCTAAAACTTCTGAATTTGAATGATGTTTTTTTATATTAATATTGTACGCGCAAGGCTATATGAATGTTCGAATTTGAACATATTTTATCGTTTAATATGCGTTTTGAATGTTTGAAATTTTGATAATTTGGACGTGGAGGTTACTAAAGCATATGGACCAAAACGAAAATAAAATAATTATTTTGAAGGATTATTCGTCAATCCAGAACCGCCAATTCAGAAACTGTTCGTGATTAGTTGACTGTAGGTCCCATTTAAGTTGTTCTTATTCGGCCCAATCACGGAATTAAGTTAGATTTCGGTTGAACCACTCTCGATATAGAATTCTTATCAAATTATTTATATATAATGCTTTAATTAAGTTTTACTTCGGGCGGAAACCAAACTCGAGTGGGAATGTCTTTTCCTCTTTTTCATTAAATTTCCCTCCTTAAATATGTCATGCTTTATCAATTTTGCAATCTTAAATGAAAGTAGAACCAGAAAACAATGAATACAAGTGCTTTCATCGTATAATTATTCTATCTTTCGGCCGTATGTTAGAAGCTTGTTAAACGAGGCCATAGGACAGTAATACTTCAAGATATAACACTAACATTTCATCAAAAAATGCTTTTGGTCTCAATATTATACATAACACGAGATAAACAATACATTGAAAATGACATACTTTTCTTAATAACCATTAGGTGCTTTCTCATCTGATGCATTAAATGGCATAGAAAAATTGTGGAAGCACCATAAGTAACAAATGGTTTGTTTGTTTTCTTTTAACAAATTGCTCATTTTCAAGCATTTGATACTTCTTAACCACATAATTTGCAAACTAAATCTAAATTTTGTGTTAAAAATATCCCGAATCGCTTAACAATGGAGTTTATATGCTCTTTATATACACGCGGTCTCCCTCTACTTATTGGCTTAAGCTTTTGGGTTGGACTTTCAAATATGATCATATCAAAGTCAGGATTTGGCCTTTCTGTGTCTGTGTCCATTCCTGTTACTGTTAGTCAGATTTCACGTGGCATGTGCTACTACTAATCCACCAATATACATATCAACTTGTTAGCCGAGCTTTTTGGATTGGAATTTCCAGTGGTTTGGATTCTAATTTTCTTATCCAAACCCTAGCATTCGATCTTTCTCAAAAATGAAAACGTTCCCATGAACGGCCAAACCACCAAAGAGCAAGCAAGTGCTGCCCAAGCCGCAGAGGGCATGCCTGTGAATATGATCCGAGCGGACAACACTCGCCATCCGAATGGACCCACCGGTTCATCTACACACCAGAAACGAGCGTTCAATCGCTGCACCAACTCCACCAACTCCTAAAAATATCGCACGAATCGCTCTTTACATGCCCCCGGATGCACACGAGCCCGATGAATCTCGACCGTCGGACTACTCACGAACAACGGTCGAAATTCACCGGGCTCGCGTGTGCCGGATCTACGAAAGAGTATCGCTCCAGAATCCACCCCCGGTATGCCCCATACACGTGCGAGGTGCCTGCATGGGCTTGCCGTGATGAAAGCTGGCTTGCTATTTATTCAGGTAAAATGGCAATTGAACTTCTTTGCTGGTGGTGTGGGTTGTGGCTCATTTATGCACTTTAAGTGTGACGTCTCTTTCGTCCAGCTATCCCCAATTCTTCCTGCTGAATTGCCTTTGATCTAAAACCTAAAGTGTAATCAAGGGCATAAATGCCGGGATTAACCTATTTGCACGCAATGTAGTTGGCTTAACACTTTAGAAAGCTAACCCCAGTCCTTTCTAATCGTGGCAGATCCTTGGAGGAGCTTAGAGTGTTCCCACTTTGATTAGAGTTGGTAAATGAGGGGGGTATCTCTTTCTTGTTCGGGTTTCGTCGACCTCCGTCTATGCACGGCTGAGGTCGCTGCAACCCCCACCTATGCCTAATGAGAGCCGCCGTACCGGCCCCTCAAAGATGGTTGGACGGCTGTCCTCTCTCTCTCTCTTCTATTTTTCTTTTAAATTTTTTTTATTTTTTTGATAGTGTTTATTGATGTGACGCTTTATTTTTGTTACCATATTGGCACCACTTATTCATTCCGTGCTCCATCAACAATCCCATGTCAACAATTTGACTAGGTTAGTAAAGGCGATAGACATAAGATTGCGTTTGCACGAATTGAGATAGTTATAGGACTTGATTACATAACTTAAAGGATGCAATCGTGTAAACGGTGTAATTTAGAGAACCAAAACTGTCCTTGAGCCAAAATGAATCTTTTTGATTGTTTTTTTGTTAGATAAGTGCACTAGAAGTCTTAAAACTTATCATGAAAATACAATTGAGTCCTAAAACTTATCACAAAAGTGCAGCTGAGTTCTAAAATTTTTAAAAAGTGCAATCAAGTCATAAAACTTGTTAGTATTTTTCGTTTGTCAAGTTGGACGGAGTTAATGGAATGGCTTGATTGCACAAACTTAACAAATTTTAGGATTCGATTGCACTTTTTGAAAGTTTTATGACTCAATTACACTTCTGTAACAAGTTTTAGGACTTTCAGTACACTTATCTCATTTTTTTTTTTGTAAAAAATGATTCATTTAGTTTAGTAATTGATTTTAGCTTTACTCTAAGATGGTCCGACATTCCTTCAAAATAAAAAAAAGGATGTCCGAAATTCGCGTGGAATGTTGACTGATATCATCATCACCCCGTAATTTGCCTTCTCTTGCACGGCAACATAGGAAGCTTGATTACCAAGCATTAGCCAGACAAGACTCGCTCTTCTAGTTCACTCTTCTGATCACATCTGGGACAGAGGAAAAAAATAACTTAAAATGAGAAACAAATGCAAAAAAGGAAAAAAGGAAAAAAAGAAAAGATAATTATTTAGATATTCTAAATTGTGGGTCCGCAAAAGAAATAAAAATTGGTGGGGGACCAGAATATTGGCTAGCAACTTAGATCAAAATAATGAACATCGAAGAGTCCCTT